AAACGCTTTTTCTTTATGATTTATTTGGAAATGATGTTGGAAATGTTTGAGAAATAAGAACAGATTGCTTAAAATAAAATCTGTTTTGAATATTTCTAAATACAGCTGACTCTCAGTGGCTGGGTGAGCTTTTACTTTCCTCCTGATTTTATTTTTCCAGTGTTGTTTTCCTGGATTCTCAGTGTCATTCTGCTGCTGCTGTTGTGCTTGAAAGACGAGGACTCACCTCAGGATTAAAGCTCCAGTTTTAGCGAAATGAAAACACATTTCTGGGTCTTGAACCTGCCGTGAGAGTCTCTGCTCATCCGTCTCCTCCACACCCTCACCCTCACCCTCCACCACATGCTGCTTTGTGTCTCCACTCATGTCTCCCTCTGTCTGATCTGTTCCTGCTGAGGAAACATATTCCTCTCACTTTTCGTGCAAAGACATTATTTGTGTTTTAAAGGCGTCTTCCTCTCAGGCTAAACTCTGCCGGGTTGATGCAGAGGACAAAAATGGAGCCAAGAAAAACAGACAGTAACAGAGAGACAGATGAGGTACAGTGCAGCGGCCCGGGGCTGAATATCTGTGGGAGGTGGAGGTAGCGTGCAGGACACCACAGGGTTATAACCCTGGGTTAGGTTGTAACAGTGCAGAGAAGAAACCTCAGCTATGAAAATGATTTACTGTACCTGAAGGTATCCTCACAAAGGTGTATGCCGGGCTCAGTGAACTCAGGTTCAACCCACAGTTCAGACCTGACTCCGCCAGCTGTCGGTACACGACCCACATGACCTACATGACCCACATGACCTACATGACCTATATGACCTACATGACCTATATGACAGGTTATTAATGCATGTATGCAGGTTGATCAGTGTCGACACAAATCAAAAAGAGTCAGAAGCAGGAAAAATTCAGTGTTACCAATGCTAGCTGGTTAATACAGTGTGTGTGTGTGTGTGTGTGTGTGTGTGTGAAGATAAACACAGTAATTAGAGAAACACTTTGGCAGCCACAGACAGAGGGAAGAGACCTGTTTGTATAGGTATTAATAAAGCTGTGGATTGCATGACCTGGGTGGTGTGTGTTTGTGCGTGCATGTGTGCGTGCGTGTGTGTGTGTGTGTGTGTGTGTAGGGAAAGTTATGTGACTAAGGAATCCTCCGGCGAGACAAGAAGCTGCTGACTGATGCAGACTGACTCCATCTTCAGGGCGGAGAAAGTGATTTCCACCTCAGCTTCGTTCCCGTCGGGTTCCTCCGTCTGTTGCTGTGTCTGGGTCAGTTTCCGTCCATCAGTGCAGTCTGTGCGTCGGCTGCAGGATGTAAGTGAAGCAGACACTGGAACAGACATATGAGTCCTTCAAGACTTCAATAGATACATGAATAATACATTATGAAATAAATAATCAGATAAGATGATTGTTCATTTCTTTATTAGTGCCACAGTGGGAATATTTACAGTATTACAGACAGAAAAAAACTGCTAAATGACAATAATAAAATATAATATGTTCAATTTAGATACTTAGATACAGAAAATAGCAGCAGATACTGCACAGATTGTGTGTGTGTGTGTGTGTGTGTGTATGTGTGTGGTCTGATAATCACATATAAATATCATATAACATATAAACCCAAAAGGAAAAAAAAACATGGCATTTATAACAGCAACAGTTTCAAACAGGAAATTGATGTTTACTTTTGAAAAGATAGAACTTTACGAGCTGTCCCTGAAGGCAGCGTTGCCTAGCAACACGGTGGTCCAACGTCAGTTTTCTTTTAGAAGAGATTAAAACAAACAGCGGAGATTAACAACATAAAGACACAAAAAAGATCCTGTAAAAACACAAATACACAACTATGGCGGATGAAATCGAGGCCGACGACAAAGAGAAGTCGTTGTATTTGACACAGATCCGGTTTCTGGACGAGCAGCTGGAGAGGCGAGTGTTTGAACTCAGGGGAAATATATCACTTAATTATTGTAGATAAAAATATGTTTAGATATTTATCAGTTTAATTAAGATACAACCTCAGATGTTGGGGATGAAGCGTGTTCAGATTAATAAAGAAAATACTATAAAGAAGATTCTGAATAATAAATATAATTTAATCCAGAGTTAATGTATTAAGACATGTAAAGTGCTGTGCTCTTCCATCCATCGCTGCAATTAACTGTTTAGCTATTTTCATTATTGATTAATCAGCAGATTATTTTCTTGATTGATTAAAACTTGACAAAGAGAAACTGGAAATGTTGAATCAGTTTGGTGTTAACCAACAGCCTCACTCTGAGTTCCTTTTATTCTGAAAATCTCTGCACATTGTGTATCAACTCATTTAATTTAAGAAATTATAAAAACTGTTGGATCAGCCTTTAAACCGGTTTTATCCTTCACTTACATTTTACCACATGTCCATTAAAGTCTATTTTTAAAAAATAAAATATTACATGAATCTGAGAATTATCCCAGATAGCGAAATGAAGCGTCTGGCCCAACATGTAATATTTCAGTTAGATGATATATATCCCAACATAAAATCACAGAAGCTGTTTTCATGAAAGTCCATGTCTCCTCCTCCTGCAGGTGTCAGCTGAAATGTGACGAGCTGGACAAACAGAACAAAGACCTGGCCTCTCTGTGCAGCGCGCTGGGGAAGGACAAGGACGACATCGCTCAGTACCTGAAGCACTCGGTGGCCGCAGAAGAGAGGAAGTTGGAGGAGCTGGTGGAGCGGCTGGAGAGGCAGCAGCGTGATACTGAACAGGAGATAGAGGCCATGAAGCTGCAGCAGAGACAGGAGCTGCAGGAGAGGACTGAGGAGCTGAACTCAGAGAGCAGGATACAGGGTGAGGAGGGTGAGGCAGGAGTGGAGGAAGGTTTGTTTCAGCTGCTTACTGGTTATTATTAGTTTGATGAACAACTTTAAAGCTCCTCCAGTGTAAAGGTCTGTGTCCATGTGTAGTGTGATTATAGATCAGCTCTAGCTTCTATATTAATACTGTGAAAGTATCAAAGCCTCAGTCCACAGAGAAATGCACACAGCCTGTATTCAGAAACTGAGCCTTAAAACCAGCCGTCAGGACTTCTGGAACTTTGTGATGTCACAACAAAGCAGTCACCAAGCCCCGCCCACCTGGACCCACCATCCAAACCTTGCAGGATTTGGTTTCTCTGAGTGTTTTTACCTGAAATCTGCTTTATTTTTATTGGATCAACACATCCACACAACTACATGTTCATCTTAAAACTGTGTACAAAAACAATCACTATCCAGACGAACACCTGAAAACACACACATACAGTACATGACCAGTAACCTACACTGAGCATGTGCGAGCCGGTGTAAACAGGAAGTAGATTGTCTCCTCTGCGGTAAATCCTTTGAAGGAGGAACAGCAAAGACAGTTGTAGCATTAAAACAGAGACTGTAAGTGAACAACAGCTGCTAGCAAAGACAACAAGGTCAGTGACACTGTCATTCATCATCATGTTGTATTCACCACTGGTAGTCCAGGCTGATGGCAGCCAATCAGGAGAGGCCATGGGTGTGACCTCATCGTTTACAAACGTCTCAGTTTCTGTCCGTCCAGACTACAACACAACCAAAGAATTTTCTAAATAAAACACAACCCCAGAGCTTTCAAAATAAGATGGGGCCAGCATCATTTCTGAAAGTCTCAGTTTTCGGTCCTCGTGTGGACATGAGGCGACACCGTAGTAATAACGATGCGTTTCAAAGGGAAAACGTAGTAGTGTGGAGCCTCCTTTCTTTGAATTGGGCTCACCGGAATCTTAGGGGGGGGGGGGGGGACATGTGACACAGATACAGGAAAGGATTGTTAGTGCACCGTCTCCTCTCTCTACTGTCTCTGACGGGGCTCTCCTCCCCTCAGGGGTGCAGATGGAGGAGCAGAAGCCGCAGATGGAGGAGCTGGAGCAGCAGATGGAGGAGGTGAAGGAGCTGATGCTGCAGCTGCCCGAGCAGGAGGCTCTGGAGAAGCAGCTGGCCAGTGAGAAGGAGGAGTATGAAGCTTCCTACCACAGCCTGACGCTGGAGGTAGAGCGGGAGAGGAATAAGTAAAGACTGACAGTTAACGATTTAACATTAATGAGCGTTCACCGGCAAACTGTAAACATTCACCCCTGTCCTCCAACCACAGGATGGCTGTGGAGCGGCGGCGCAGGGTGAAGGAGGGCGTTAAGACGAAGGTCTCGGAGCTTCTCCTGGAGGAGAGGGCTCGGCACCGCGAGCGGCTGGAGAAGGTGGAGCTGCTGCTGTGCGAGAACAAGGATGTGTGGAACCAGAAAGACGCCCTGCGGTTCAGTGAGAGTGTGCTCTGTTCCGAGCTGGACAACCTGAGGAAGTGTTTCAACAAGGTCACCAAGGTGGTCTCCGCCCGCATGACGGTAATGAAATGTCAATATCAGAGAGGTGACATAAATCTGAGGCAGGGGGCATCCGGAATTGAACCAGAGACCTCTTGATCTGCAGTCAAATGCTCTACCACTGAGCTATACCCCCACACTGTGAGCCTGCTGTCGGCGTCTCTGTTGCGTTTTCAGACAGGAAGTGGTTTCTGTGTGTTCAGCTGTAGTCTGTACTCAGTGGCATGAGGCTACGTCACTGAGCATGTGCGAGCCGGTGTAAACAGGAAGTAGATTGTCGACTCTGCAGTTGATTAGTTGCACAAAATGTTACAAACGAGGAACAGCAAAGACAGTTGTAATGTCGAAATGCAGAATTTAGCTGAACAACAGCTGCAGAGACGACAGGGTCAGTAACACGTTATCCATGTTGTATGTCGAGGCTGATGAGAGCCAATCAGGAGAGACCGTGGGCGTCTTACGTCATCGTTTCCAAAAGTCTCAGTTTCTGTCAGTCCAGATACAACAGAACCTGGAGTTTTCAAAATAAAACGGGTACCATCAGAGTTTCTGAACTCTGGAGTCGTGTGGCCGGCAGACAGTAGACGTAGCAGAAGAGATGAGTTTCAGATCGTAGTGTGTGTGAACGAAGCCTGAAGGATTCCCCGTGTGGACAGAAGAAATGAAGTAAAACTCTCTGGATGTTCATGTGAACATGTGAGTGTTGCTTTAATCTGTGTTCACACAATATTCTTCTCCACGGATCTTTTTTTAAACACAAAGGAAGTTGCACAGTCGCGACTTTCTTCACAACGTATCATTTTCGTTTACGGGTTTGTCCATCCTTCCTCTTCTCATGATCACGATATCTCCGTAACGCTTTGAAGGAACTTCTTCAAATTTGGTAAAAACATTCACTAGGACTCAAGGATGAACTGATCAGATTTTGGTGGTAAAAGGTCAAAGGTCAAGGTCACGGTGACCTCACAAAACATGTTTTTTGGCCTTGTGAACGCCATATCTTGACCTCAAGGGAATCCCTTCAGATTTGTCCACTAGGACTCAAGACTTTGCAGCAATTATGACAAAATTTCACACAACTGGTTCATATTTTATACGACTCTGGATAAACAGGATGTAACCTGAAACACCTGAGTGGCAGAGGGAAACGACCACGAGGAGGTTTTCTTTTTCTTTAATTAGTTTTCTCTTCTTTAGTTTAGTGGGTAGAACTCTTAATGGCGTGCAGGACGAGTCTAGTCCTCTCATGGCATTTCTAAAACATCGTCAACACAGAATCAGCTGATGTTTGGATAAGAAACAAAAAAATCAGCAAAATAATCCGACCTCGTCTCTTCATCAGGAGACAGAGGAGCTGACGAAGGCGAACCAGCAGCTGGAGGTGGAGATGCAGGAGTGGAGCATCTCCTACGAGTGCATGCAGGACGAGGAGGAGCATCTCAGGTAAGATTCACCTCTTTGTGTCGTCCGTGTATAAGATTCAGATCCATGTTGGTGTGAAAGGTGAGTGAATGTCATAATCCTCCAGATTTTAAAGGTAAACAGACAGTTGTAAGGACACAGAGGGATCTGTTCCAGGGGGCACCCGGACTTGAACCGGGGACCTCTTGATCTGCAGTCAAATGCTCTACCACTGAGCTATACCCCCTCTGACAGATGTTGTACAGTTGTTTTTGTGTGCGCTGTGTTTACAGACACAGCCTGGCCTCTGTGTCCGCGGAGTACCGTCAGAGAGCAGCCGAGCTGGATCAGCTGGAGGTCGAGATTCAGGAGGAGAGGAGCAGGAGGTGGCAGCTGGAGGGCGACATGCAGGAGGCGGCCGTCATCCTCAGACAAGTCCTGACGGTGAGAGCGCGGTCCAGGACCAGGAGCGTCAGGACACAGACCTTCAGTCCAGAGAGGGAAGATGATTGATGGTTGATTGGCTATCGGTTCAATTTGGCTGCTCTTAGTTTAGACGTCCCATTTACAGAAGGTTCTGCTGCTCAGACAAACATCCAGGTGTCCAGGAAGTATTCAGATCCTTTACTAAGGATCTTTAGCAACTAGAAAACAGACCAACAATGTTAAATATATCAGTAATGCATTAACATGTACTGTAGGTAGCAAGCTGAAGCTCTGGTTGGTCTCCGTCCTCTGCAGGACTCAGAGGAGTCGTCTGACAGTCAGCTGAAGATGCAGAGGCTGGTGGAGATCCTGGAGAGCACCGCCCCCGAGGGAACAGGCCCCGCCCCCAATGACCCCACTGAGGACAGCAGCACCGGACAGCAACCTCAGACCACCGGCCCCGAACCATCCAGGTACTGGAATCCCTCTCCGCTGGATCGGTTTCTGTTGGTTTTAAAGAGCTGACTTCCTGTTTAGAAAATGTTCCGCATCACTTCAGAGGAGTAAAAGAGGAGTAAAAACTACACTTTGCAACAGAAATGTAACAGAGACAAATAGAAAGTCAAAATAGAGAAGAGCTGCAGTTAATGGACTCTGTTTCCTTCTCCCATCATCCTCTCTGTCCGTCACAGGGCAGAGACCCTGAACATAGCCTCAGACCCACTGTTCCTGATGGCCCGCTACAGACCGGGCGACCTCGGCCTCATACCTCGACCCACGTGGAAACACGGACCAGGGTCGAGCGCCCGGGTCACCAACAGCAGGTTCGTTATGACGCAGAGTCTCCTGAGTGACACTGCTGCCAAGGGGCCAAAAACACTATTAATCAATTCATAATAGATCAATAAAAATAAACCATAGTTGTTGTTTTTCTTGTTTTTTTTTTGTCTTTAATTGTTTCTCAGTATAAATGTTGTGTCTCTGTCCGTCAGGAAACTCTATTGCTGTCAGAGGACGTCGGGCGCTGTGGACCCGTCTGATCCGGATCCTCAGGAGACTGAGTCAGAGGCCGAGGCCTCCACAGACCCCTGAACCACAGCCAGACCACATCATTTCAAAATAAAATCCTGCTTCTGTTCTGACTGCTGATCTGTAAGTTTAGATTTGAAGGTAATTATTGTTCTGAAAGTGTACAGACTACAAAGTCATTTTTATAACTATTAGGATTATTTGATTGTTTTAAATTAACTGAGTAGTTCAGTGACTGAACCACAGGGTACGGACTCACTATACACGACTCAGTGAACAAAGCAATTTAATTCAGACGAGGTCGGGACACCGGTGATCAAACTATTGGTCAAAATGACACTCGGTAGAACAGGAAGAGAACACAGGAACGTTTGATACTAAGAACAAAGACAAGCTGACGCAGGACGCAGACTAGATACACCAGGAGGGGAACACAATGAGACACAGGTGCAACACATTAGGGGGCGGGGTCGACAATCACAGGAGCGGGAAACACACGATGGCAGGAAGTGGAACTCTGGAACGGGAGAAGAGGTTAGACACACACCAAAATAAAACAGGAAGTGAAAACCAAAAATTTAAATACTTTGGTTTTTAACCTTAAACCAAAGTATTGGACAAATGAAATGATGATGGCGCCACAGGGGAAGTGAAGGGATGACGGAACATGAATGAGGTTGTTCAGGGGGTCTTTCACATTTACTTTTTATTTGTGGAAGAAAAATGTAATACATTTTATTATATTTCTAGTGTTTTACATTTTATTTAGTTTAAGTCGTTTTCAAAGTTTGTCAGTGAACATTTTACAACATAGTTTTTGTTAATGAAATGAACAATAACTGACGGAGTGATGCAGGTGAAAAGCAGGTTCCTCACTGCTGCTGGGAATCAACCCTGAGTTCCTGCAGAACTATTTCTGTGTCACTGAAGTACAGTAACAGTAACAGTAACAGTAACAGTAACAGTAACAGTAACAGTAACAGTAACAGTGTGACAGCATCAACACTGACTGACCAACACACACAGAGTTTACAGCAGAAACTCCAGGTGACTCCTCACAGAGTTCGGTCAGAGCAGTGATGCAACTACACTGGAAAACACAGCGCTGGAAAGGTCAGCCAGTGTGTGTGCGTGTGTGCGTGTGTGTGTGTGTGTGTGTGTGCGTGCGCTGATGCAGTAGCAGCCCCCAGCAGTGTAACCCCAGTTCTGTGTTGATTCTGGTGAAACAGGAAGTTGGAGCCAGCCTGGAATATCCAGCTGACACACACACACACACACACACACACACACACACACACACACACACACACACACACACACACGTACAGTCATAAAGCTGTGATACATTTGTGGATTTTACCACTTTCTCTGCAACATACTGACATCTGGTATCAGTAATCTGCAGGTATTCACTGTTTCCTGCTGCTCAAACAACTTTATCTGAGAATAACTGATTTCACCTGGGTCGGCCTCGAAGCACCGATCAAGATCCAAAAACAGCCCACTGTCACAGCAGAGGGCCGACTTCATATATTTAATGTTTCATTCAAAACAGAACTGAACCTCTGGAGGATAAAAGCTTGTTATTGGGGCAGAACCTTTAACAGGTAGAAGACACCATCCATCCAGGTGTAGTTCTGAACACCTGACATATATCCACATACATCCACCTATAAATACGTCTATGTTAACTTTAATTTAAATGACTGTGTCTGCTGTGAAATGGGTCACTTATACACAGAGAATTATCAACGACTCTGCAGCTCTCCTGAGCTTCTCAGCCTATTTTAGCTCCTAGTTTTGCTCAGCAGCTGATTTCACGAACAAACAGCAGCGAAAGAGTCGAATCGGTTTTCTCCGGAGTGGGTGGAGACCAAACCAGAGCTAGAAGAGAGCGAGTACTGGGCTTACATGAACACCAGTAGGCAGCTGTTTGCAAACACGTTAGCAAGGACAACTTTATAAAGTGGTCACATCTGGCCATGTGGCCTGATGGACAAGGAGGCGTCTGATTTCAGGTCACAAGATGGAGAGTTTGAGTTGAATACGAGTCAGTTGTGACTCAGTTGGTAGCGTGAGTCGTCCACTAACGGAAGGTGGGTGGCAGCATGTCTGAACACTGTCTCAGGGAATGTGGGTAAAGTGCTTTGAGTAGTTGATATGACCAGGAAAGCCCTATTTAAGTGCAGCCCGTTTACCATTTAATAGATTACAGCTGTGCTGCCCTCGAGTGGCCCAACAAATAAATGATTATCAAATCAGAATCAGCTTTATTGGCCATGTGTTTGCACAAAAAGGTAAACGCTTAATGAATAACACTTCCCTCTGATTGTTGCGTATTTAGTCGTGAATATATAACGTTATAGTGAGACACCTAATTACGCAGTAGGTTATGTATTGGAACATAATTGCAGACAATACAAATCTGACAGGAACAGAAGCATGAAGTTGTAACGAGAGCAGTTTCCTGTGATCAGCTGCATCAGACTAAAGCCTCTTGTAAACAGTCCGTTCTTTATTCTGCCTCATTTTTCAGTATAAAAGGTGCCAACACATAATAGGGGGGAGGGGCATCGTTGTGCCGCCTTTAAGGCGGCAGGGGAGGCAGTCACAGAGCCGGAGCAACAACTGTGTAAAAGGGAGAGCAAGACGCCAACGCACACGATCGCACACGGGACGACTTCATGCCAACTTAGTGTGTTTCAGTGTAAATGAGCAAAGGCAGAATAATGAGGGGTCTTTTTAATGGCAGTGAAACAGGATCTCTGTATAAAAGGAGCTTCACTGACCGTCCAGTAACACTGTTTAGTTTCGGACTCCCACAGCCTCTGTGCCCACGCAGAGCATCCTGGGAAAGCATCGTGAGACAATGTGGATGTTCTCTGCTGCTTCAACAACAAGCCCTCTATCAGACAAACAAACTGTGTGTGTGTGTGTGTGTGTGTGTGTGTGTGTGTGTGTGTGTGTGTGGACAGATGAAATTGTTCTGAATGAGGTCAATGAACTCAGGAAACCCTCGTCTATCTCAGGTTGTTCCAGCACAGAGAGCATGAGGCATCATCAGGATCAGTGAAAACAGTTAATGCTTCATTACATATATTTTTAATATTCAACAGCAACTTAAATATTGGAAAAAGTGTAAATACATAAACTGTTACCCAGAAAAAGAAAAAATTGCCCTGTACAGATTCACAACTACTCAAATCTGTATTAAAACAACCCGAACTGTTGGCCCTCCCCACGTTTATAAACACAAAGGCTCCGCCCACTGGTGAGATGGCAGCGATTGCAGCGTTCAGGTGACAGTGACCTTCCAGAATTTCCTCCACTGAAGAAGAAACCATGTTTTCATCTAAAAAGACGTCAGACAAAGAAAGAGATGAGACCAGAGCACCGGTGGTCAAAATATCCATAAAGTTTTTATTGGCATCAGTGTCCAAGGCTGAATTTCTTTCCCAGTCTGACCATGGATCCAATACTGGTCTGATTTTACCAAGATGGAGAACTCTTCGAGCTACTAAAGAGCTCCAGTTAGTCTCAGAACTGGTTTTTGTTCTTCTCCTTAGACACGATAACATTAGCTTACTTGCTGTTACCGATATTGTGAATTTGTTCGGTAAATGTTGCTATCACTAACTGGATAACTGTGGAGCATATCACGGCGATGCTAGCGTGGGCTAATGGTTGTGGTTAGATTGTTTTTGTTGGCTCACATGTACACAAGATAACTTTGTTCAGTTGTGCTTCTTGTTGTGCGTTTAGTGGACGATTTCACTGAGCTCCATAACATTTTGCCGACTGAGAACGTGAAGGGAGGGGGAGGTGTGGCCAATTAAGCAGTCGTTTTGGTCTGAGATGCTGGTGGTCAAGTGCGACAAGGCTGAAGTAGGGAAACTTCTTACACCTGAAAGTCTTATAAACAATCAAAATCTGAAACCCTCTCACTCTGGTCCTCAAACCGTCATCTGACAGAACTGAGTTTTGTTTGACTTTGTTTATTGCGGGTGAAGTGAGAACATGTGGTTAAGTGAAGAGAAAGGAGATTTTCTTTCTTTCAAAGTGAAAAGAACGAATCTAAATTTTAATACAAGAACTAAAATCAGGGTTTCTTCAGTGTACTCCAAACTCTATGTATGCGTGAGGCTTGATATTACTTGTATGGTGGTGGTGGTACTGGTTTTCAGGTAATGTGAACACTGTGGGAGTGTGATCAGGCACAATGAGACACCAGGAGAAGTATCAGGTTTATTTGCAGTGTTTTTAAGATTATCTGGACAGGGAACAGGTAGCTGTCCGACAACTGTTGCTAGTTTTATCTATTATACTCAGTCAATCAACTTTAACCAGGAGAGCCCAGGCTTCTGCTGCAGGTAGACAAAGGAGCTCGCACCTGAAATCAATCCTTCTTATAAAACCTCTGATTCCTCCAGCCCCTCCTCCTTCCTGCTCCTCCTGAGGCAGCTCTTTACTCTAAACCTGCTCTTCACAACACTGTGGCCCGCCCGGCCTGGACTGACCCTCCAGATTCCCCCCTAAGCATCGAGGAATCTGGGGCGGCTCGGTTGGAAACCGAGATGTAATGACTGGAATGCTCACCAGAGAAATCTGTTGGTTAAAACGCTTCGTTGAAGCACAGCAGGTGAGCAGCCTGTGGAACAGCCAGTCAGACGGCCAACAGGCATACCAGCACAGATTTTACGGACTGGTTCCAATGCACAAGTCCAGCCGCTGAGCCCAACAACTTTTCTGGCTGAAACCCTGTAAAATATTATATGGTCTGGTGAACAAACAGAAAGTCTGGCAGCCACACACACTCACACACAGTATGTGTTACCTGGTTTGGTTGGTTGGATCTCGTCCCCTCCTCTCGTCTCATTACACAACACAGAGTCAGCTGAGACCAAACAAAGCTTCAGTCCCTGATGAAGTATGTCACAGGAAGTCTCTGGCCAAATCCCAACGTTCCCCCTGAACCCTGAACCCTCACAGATTTAGTGACATCACCTGGTGAGTGATTGAGTGTGAGAGGCCGAATGGGACAGCACTATTATCACGTTACCTTGATGATGCCAAAAATTTGCATTGAATTATGGGTTCGGGAATTTTGATTGTACATTCTTATTCCCTCCCTTCGCTCCCTGTTTGTAAACAAAACAATAATGTTGGATCAGCTCTGATCCAATTTGGATATTTGTAATTCATCATCATGTGATCGCAGGACAGATAACTGCAGTTCAGGCTCTGAATCACAGTGACTTTACTCTACTGTCACACACTGTCTGTTTTCTTCTAATGCTAACGTTAGCGTTAGCTCCTCTCATGCTCGTTTGGTAACCGTTCTTCTTCTATCTTATTATATCTTGCGTTTTATGGCCGTTGTTGGCCATTTTTTACGCTTCTGGAAGTCCCCTGATAACCATGGCAACCCTGTGTTTAACGCTATGAACCTTGGGTAATTCCCTCTGGCAAAGTCTGCAGCAATGCGGACTTACAGAAAGCGTGAATAAAGGGCTCAAAATGTCTGTTAGAGAGTCCTCATGTCCTCGATGGGTTGACAGGATCGCCACTGGCTGTACCGCCATGTTGTGTATGAGTGGCCTTTTAAGAATCTTTGGATTGGTGCATTTTCATATATTTTCAGCCACACACGCTGCTGCTTAAAGCCTGCTTGAATGCTTGACTGCTTGACTTGAGAACTTCAGATCTGAGCAGGATGTGTGGTCTCTGAGGTCAGGTGTGAGTCAAGCAGTGGTTCGCATGGCTAGTTTCCATGGAAACAGGTTTGTTGAATCGCCCGGTGTGTTGTTAAGGTGTGTCCCCCACCGTCGCACACAAAGCAGCCTATTAACACACCCGAATTCTCATACCCACACCCACACTGTGTCATAAAGGATGCACAGGATAAACAGCAGCACACTTCATAGCACTGAGCGGAAACTATGTTCAATCAATCAGCTGTGATCAAACTATTTAAATTTTCAAAGCTTTGCAGTTTTCAGTTTTACAAAAGTTTTACAAAGTGACCAGGATGTTGTTTCTGATCATTTCCACGTGTTTATTCTGGAGCTTTAAATCAATGTCAGATTATTTCCATTCACCTCTGATGAACTGAGACATCAGCAGCAGCAGGTTCATGAGCGAACACCTCAAAATCTCAGTGGATAAAACCAAAACTTTCCTCAGTGATTGGTGAGAAAACGTGTTTCACCTGGTCTGGTTTCACTTTACTGGTCAAATACCGGACTCAGTTCAAGCTGCTGCACTTTGATACAAGACAAAATCAAGCAGAAGAAAAGCTTGGCTGGCACTAATAATAATAATAATAATAACTTTATTTATTGTTACAGAGTGCTTTACAAGAAAAAAGTAAAACCACATGAAAGAAAAGTCCAAAGTACTGGAGCATAATAAAAAGAGTAGAACAGCATAAATAAAAAACACCTTAAATCAACATCATGCAAAAAGATCTGACAGTGAAAAGAGGCAATAAAATCTGCAAAAACAATAATTATGGATAAAATAATATAAATAAAACAGGTATAAGACAAAGGAATGTTTTAAAAAGAGATTTAAAGGAGGATGAAGTTTCACAAGTATCTGGTTATCTTCTCAGATTAGAGTTACAGTTCTGTTGGGTGATAAATAAAAACATCAGAGTCGTGTTTCCTTGCAGAGTGACTGCAGCCTCTTGTCATCCAGGTTAGTGTTCGTTAATAAAAACTGCAGTGTGTTTATATTGGGAACTTGCAGGAACACGGGAATGGAAAAACATCCTCAAATATGTAAACACACTGATGTGAAAGTTTCCTGGATGCAGATCTCGCTAATGAAATTTCAGGGTTGAAATTTCATTCGGACTTTGATTCCTGATCACACACAGTATCGTGGTTTTGTCATTATTGTTATTTCATCGATATTTTAGTCGGATGTTTCTATTAATTGTTGTGTGGTTGAACTTTCTTTGCAAGTTTGATTTGTTGGAAGATAAGATTCAGATTTTATTTCTTTATGTGATGGTTTAAGTTATTTTTTGTTGAATTTCCTGGGGTTCATTTTTCCTCTGTTTGGAAATATTTTTGTAAATAAAATCACATTTTTTTCAGACCTTACTCCGGCCTGCTGACCGGCTTTCTTTGGAACATCCCTTATTAAAGTTTCCAGTGCCCAAACACCATCATCTGCCCTCTCCATGGTGTGACGGCACGAGAGACTTTTCATCCAGCGCCGCCATCAGGTCACATGTTATCATGTCCAATGAATGAGTGAAGTCGTTTCACTGTATTTCTTGATGCTGCAGCTCCACCTGCTGGCTGCCTGAAGGTGCAACACAACGAGGAGAATAATGGAGGATTTTTGTGTTGTATTAATACACTCACAGGTCTGATCCGTCAGCTGGATCTAGATATCTTTGATCCAGGTCCTGGTCCTTCAGGCGGCTTTGTCCCTGTTTGAACCTGCACTTCACTGCTTCATCCTCTCTCTAGCTTGACATCATTTACGGGTCATTTCCTGCACACTTTGCTCTTTATTTACCTTATATTCTGATTTTGTGTTTCTGTCGACTGTGTGCACACATCAGTAAACCTGTGATCTCTCCTGTGGCTTCTCCTCAGCTTTCTTCCTCTTTCCCCTCGTGTGACCTGAGGCCTGAGGACAGACGGTGTGTTGGGATCTATGGACTGTATTTGGTCTGTTCTGTACCTGCAGAGGGAGACTTTACTCTACACTTGAGTTTCTGACACACAACGGATTTAACTTCTGTTGGTGTCCAGACGAGTTGTAATAATTAATTCTGCTTAAAACATTTGGTAAGTTGTTAAATAGAAAATGAGCTTGTAGGAGCCTGATGCTGCGTCTCCAACTTAAAGTGTCATCTGTAGAAAACGTGGCTCCATATATTTATACAAAACACTTCAGCAAAAAGTTAAAGTCTGCAAATCTTTAAAAGCTTTCCTTTGTTTCTCTCCTGCCTAAAAAAACTCCAAAAACTGAAATGTGTCATTTACCAAATCACCTGTTAAAAGAGAAAAGAATTTGGATTTTAATATTTTCCTCAGTATAAACGTCACAGCTTCAACAAACAGCTGGAACATTTCTTTAAAAGTTTACGAGTTCAACTCAAAAACTTTAATCTGCTTAATAAAAAATGACAAACTGTTTAATTCAAAGAGGAATTTATTCAAGTTTAACATGATGACAGAGCTTCTACATAAAAATATATAAAATCATTTATTTTACATTGCACAGTAAAAAAAGGTCTGAGCCTTAAAAACACACAGAACACGACATAAAAACCCGACAGCACTGAAACAAAAACAGGAAATAAAATGTGTTTTTCCTCTTAATTCATTAATCACATTAATATTTGGAACTTAAGAATCTTTTAAAATGTGAGTTTTGATGGAAGAAGTTCGAGGGAAGTTTCTGATTTCAGGTTGAATTTGATTTGCAAGTCAAAGTGTTTTTTGTCGGCAAGAAAAAAAGTTCATGATGTTTTTAATGCAAATTTCATCAGATGAAACAAGATTATGTTTCTAAATAAACAGGATTCAACCGGATCTGACACACGTCACACTGTGGTCGATGCCAGCGCAGCAGTCTCCTGCAGACGAGCTGAAACCACGTACTGACCCAAAGCTTTGAGTGTGTTCTCCGAGTTCAACCACAGACCATTTTATTTCTTTAAGAGTCGATTCACCTCACTACAAAAAAACAAACAAACAAACCCCCTCAACCCTGGAGGTTTGTATCCCTGCAGATAGTTTTCCACATCTGTCAGATTTCTGCCTCCACATCATTACAATGGAGGAGAACGGAAACAAGGTCGTGATCTTTAAGACTCTTTCAGTTGAAGAAAATAGTCCCTATGAAAAATCATCCACAGTGATGGAGCCTGTAAAAATATTGTGATGTTTTCCACACCTCAAATTAAACCCCAGTCACTTCCATTAGATTGAGGTGGAGGCAGAAATCTCAAAACAGCTGGACTAATAAAACTAATATTAGTCCATTAGTCACCTGCGAGGAGAAATATCTTTTTGTAATTTGGGTGAATTGATTCTTTACAGTTTCCAGATCATCATATATTAAAGTGTCAGTGTGTTTAAAACTGTTCTGGACTCTGCTCAGCTCATTTGCATGACTCCTGTTTCCAGCATGTGGTTAAGAGCGATTTTGTAATCTAATAATAACTTAGATACCCAAATATTAATCAGGATTCAAAACAAATAACATACATATTACAACACACATATTATTAACAACCAGTTAACAATCAGTNAACAGCTGGACTAATAAAACTAATATTAGTCCATTAGTCACCTGCGAGGAGAAATATCTTTTTGTAATTTGGGTGAATTGATTCTTTACAGTTTCCAGATCATCATATATTAAAGTGTCAGTGTGTTTAAAACTGTTCTGGACTCTGCTCTGGACCAACTGAGGCTCAGCTCATTTGCATGAGTCCTGTTTCCAGCATTTGGTTAAGAGCGAAACACACTCTAATGTAAACAACAGTCAGGTTTCACACACACACACACACACACACACACACACACACACACACACACACACACACACACACAGTAACGTCTTGTTTCTGTGACGCTTCACGTCCCAGAGAGACAGTGGAGGAAGATTAATGTTTCAGTCCCTGGAATCAAAAGTTTAATGTTTGATTTTCGACTTTAAGATATTTTATTTTAAAATAATAAACCTGCTATCAGGCTGTTATTTTATACTCCAGTGCTATCAAACGACCTTCACCTCACCCAGCTTGTATTACCTGACCGGCACTTTGGAGCCTCAAATTCAGGCCTCTGCCGTTTCCTTTTCTATAAAGGTGATTATTTTCAGCTTTTGGCACAAGTGAGGTGAAGCAGATAAAAGTTCAGCCCCTCTCATATTCCTTGATCCGTTTCCTCCTCCGCTGTGACATGACAAAGTGATATTGAGGAGGGAAAAACAAAGATGGAGGGAGATCTACGTTCTCAGACAGGTTCAGTGTTATGAAGCAGATTAAAGTCCACTGGGTCTCGGGTTCAGGCGTCTCCATTCCCACAGTTCCCCTCTCTGAGTCTTGGTAAGTCAGCAAGTTAAAAGCTGCTCAAGTTTTTAAATTGCACATCTGGATGTGATTTCTTTTAACCACAGCAGTGAGACGCACGTGGCTCAGTAACGGTGAGAAGTAAAATGGAGACGGGGTATGATGTCACGTGATGTCATGTGATGTCACTCACGGTCACTCCAAGTCCTTGCTGTGGATGAGGAGGAAGATGATGATGCAGGTCAGCAGCACCATCATCATCACCACGGCTGTCAGGAGGAAGGCTCGGCACGCCGGCCGGCCGGTCAGTCTGAACAGAGCGCCGCCCACGCCCACGCCCCCCGCCTCGCCACGGCCCCCCACGGGCGGGCTGGGAAGCCCCACGTCCAGAGAGCGGTTCACTGACCTCAGAGATGTCAGCGACCTCTGACCCCACCTCCGAGGACTTTCAGATGACCTGAACGAGAAACAGAGGATGTGATTCATCAATAAAATCATTTATTATTACTATTATTATTATTTCATCTGTTTTAAAAACTGAATTTATTCTGTGTGAATGTTACGGTGGCCCTGAGAGGTCAAATCACAAGAACTTGAGAAAACACAAAAACACAAATTCAGGAAACATCTTCAGTACAGAAAAGTCCCAGCCTGGTTCATCACTTTTTAGTGTCCGGAAACACTTCCTTTGTCTGTGGCGAGTATTTGCAGCTCATGTGTTTCCTGCAGTTGTTTTTGTTTTGTCTGCTTCTTAAGTAGCAGCGTGTACAACATTATGTTCAACAGTGATGTTTTTCAGTTTATCCAGATACGTTTGTGGAACTTGATCAATAACTGATATCAATATTCCAGTTAAATTTGGCAGAAGAACAAATGTGCTCCAATAAAAACCGGACTTTTGACCTGTTGCCATCAACCTCTGGATCAGATAACATGTATCTCTGTGTAATAAATCAGTTCCTTCTAGGTGTTGTTTTTCCTCCGTGATGCACGAACACCTCAGCACCACATTTTCACCACAAGCCGACTCGTCTGATCTGGATTAACTTTTCAGTTTCACCTGTTCTTACACGCACAACTTTCAAACACGTCACGGTTGTTTTATGTCGATATCGTCGCCTCACTGTGATAAACTGACCGGGAGAGGCTCCACAGAGGGAACACTACTGAATAAACCCGATTCATGCTGTCTGAAGGTTCTGACAACTGATTATCATCAAGCTAATGAATCAAAACTGAAGTCTAGAAACTTTAACCCAATGTTGTTGAAGGTTGATGATAAATCCAATAAATGTTGACAGAGTGGAGGGAAATCATGAACAACTGTCTAGAGGTGAGAACAAATCATCTGTTACTAAATCAGTAGTTTTCATAAAGGTTATTGACTCCTGATAGATTATTCTAACAGTCTGACCTCTTGACCTCCAGCTTCCCTTTACTGCGGAGGAAGCGGATGCTGTAGACCCTCTGCATGGCGGCCGGCAGGAAGGACAGCACGTCCGGGTCCGTGGTCAGTTTGGGCAGGCCGAGGGCGGGCAGGGGCGTGAGGCTGCGGCACAGCGGGCACTGGATGGCGCTGGGCTGGGCCGACTTGACGTTGATGCGCGCCAGGCACTCCAGGCAGAACGTGTGCTTGCAGTGAAGCATCTTGGGACAGCGGAAGACGTTGTTGAACTGGCTGAAGCAGATGGCGCACTCCAGGTCCGGGCAGGTGTCCTCGGAGCACTGAGACGGGAGTGGGGACGGGCGGAGGTCTGGGGATGGGATGATGACGGAGACCTGGTAGGACGGGGGCGTGGCGGGGGCGGGGTAAGGGTTTAGTGTGGGAACAGATGGAGCCTGTATCTGCGGCGAGACTGGAGCCGGGCCGGACTGAGGCCTGGATGGGAGGCTGAAGCCTGGATCTGAGGCTGGAAGCGGCGAGGCGGAGTGGTCCGAGTTCGGTGATCGGACCAGGTTTTGACCTCCATCGTGGTCTGACGAGGTCTGAGGGGAGGTACGGCTCAAAACCGTCAGAGAGGTATGACCTGTCTGGATGAGTGGAGGAGATGGTAAACTGGAGAGAGATGGATTATGGGAACTATCACAGGGGCCAGGGGCTGAATGTGGAGGTGGACTTTGGAAGCCAGAGTTCAGGTTTGGATCTCCATAGGGATTCATGACTGGTGGATGATAGACGGACGGAGGGAGAGAAAGATGGAGGATGTTGAGCCTTCAGCCGTCAGCAGGGACAAGAGCTTCAGTGACGGCTTCACAGACTCATGGTGGATGGAGGATGATGAAGAAATGATGAAGATGCTCCTCATGCAGCCTCAGACGCCCTCATCAAAACTCACTCTAAAGAAGCAAAGACTTTATCAACACACTGCAAACCAACAGGATTAAAGATAATTCATTATGACAACTGAGCAGTGACATTAGCGTGGCCGATCCGCGCGACAGTTTTACCCTCAGTTCAGATGATTGTAAATCTTAATGCTTCAAGCTTGGAAAGTGAAAAAAGAACTTCAAAGCTGCTGGAGCATCAAACTCTTTACTTTCTTTAAAAAAAAAAGTGAAATACAACAGCTTTTCAAACGGGGCCCGTTTCACAAAGACAGACTTCGACTGTGGCTTCTAACAAACAGACTGAGCCTGAATTCATCTGCTGCATGAAGCAGTTTAGTTGACTTAAACCAGACGGCAGTACAATGAATTCTGGGTAAATTAAGAATTTTATCAATATAAAAATAAAGCCAACTGCTCAGCTCCGTTTACCTCAGCATCAAATGTTTGTCTTATAGAAGAATTCAACCATTACAACGACATTTTACTTTGAAAATTCAGTGAGTGAAACAATAAACAGAAAATTTTCCTTTCCTTTCTCTTTGCTCTCTCCATAACAAAGTCAGCAAACCACAAATTATGAGCCATGTTTTCCTGTGTCTTGTTGTTGGGTACTGCTCAGCGCAGGTGTCATTGACTGTTACCATGGTAACATTGGTCTTAGGCCTGTGTTAACCTGAAGGTGAGGCCTACAATTAGTCTGTTTTTATTGTTGTGAAACAGTTTGATTAACACTACAGACCAGTTTAAAATATCTCTGTGAAACTGACCCCAGATCTGTTATATAGCACCTTTCACCATTACAGTCACAACACTGTAGCTGTGCACGTTATTTATATCAAAAGCTGTGCGTCTTACTAACAGTTCTCACCGCAAAACAAGGCAAATAAACTGTAATAAGTATATGAAGAAAGACTTTTTCCATTATTGTTGCCATATTCCAACAAATCTGAGTCTTTCTCGACAATTTTCAGACGAAGAACTCAAGGTTTTGCAGCATATTATATCACACGAGTTCCACATAAACCTCTAACCCTGCCAGACCCACCACGGGCTCTCAACTTCACAGCCTCATGTAGTTTGTCCATAAATTCACTTTAAATCACAAAAAACTGAGCAGACTGAATTTTGGGTAACATATAAAATCATGCACAAGACATTTAACTTTCCAAAGCTTAAAAAGAAACCTGCTGGGAGGTTTATTAAAAGACAGAGAGTACCTACCTGCACAGGTATGGAGAAGCGCAGTCAGTTCTAACGCATCAGCTCTCTGTATTAAACCGCTCAGGATCACTTTTCCTCTAGTTTGCATAAGTTTAGTTAAAACTGAGAGCAGGTCTGTGGCTGAATGAATAACACTGTGCCACACAACTGGATTCATATTCCAGTCCAGCCGGTGTCAACAGAACAGAAATTTGCATTGTCGTCTTATTTACAAAAGGGAAATAACATGCAAAACAAGATGGCCGCCCGTTCTGATGCTGGGACACGCTGAGCAGGATTCACCTCATAAAGCAGAAACTTAGACAGATCGTCTCAACTGCAACCTTTATCTGAGTCTGTTTATGTAGCAGTGTTTTAGGTTCTTGACCATCAGGCTGTGACATTTCCTGTTTCCTGTATACATTCCACGTGTTGTTGGCGTGTTCAATAGATCACAACAGACTGTGTGTGCCATTTCTAATAATGGACTGACACTGCTGCAATAATTAGCTGATTAATAAATAGTCAAGCCACAGAAAATTAATGGATAACTATTTTGAAAAATCTAATAATCTCTGAAGTAATTTTCAAACAAACAGCAATTACTTTTTAAAATCTGCTGCCAAAATGTTAAGTGCACTATCGACTGAGACCATGAGTGATTCAGATATCCCAGTGAAAGACACATGCAATTCCATTTAGTTTAAGGAGTTAACGTATGACTACCTGGCATTGATCAATTAAGTTGTAAATATTTGTGAAAACCCAAATAAAGTCCATAATACAACCATGGAAAATGAGACATGGCGGTGTTGGCATAAAGGATCTTTGCTTCAGCGCTTCCCATGCACAAAACCAGCACACCTGGAGATCTTACTGCTGTTTCAGGTAACACCTTAAACAGCAGGTACAGAGTAAGAGTCTTTCATCCTCATGTAAATAATCTCTTACTGTCAAATTTACCAGCTGCACATCACTGACAGAGCAGCTGATCTCCTGTCAGTTCCTACTACCTCTTCCTCCTCACTATATTAGATCTGTGAACCATAAAAGGCTTGACTGAACAACTTTTCTCCTGCAGGCCACCAAACTCCATGCAAAAATATGGAAATTTACAATTTCAACAACAACAACAACAACAACAACACCACCTTGTAGGACCTGGTTTCATCATAGAAAAACTACATAAAACGTATTTTGGTCAAACTGCCTGTTACTTTAACCACACACAAGACACAAGGCAGGAATTGTACAGGCTACCTGTATAGGCTACCTGTATGGGCTACCTTGCATTGCACTTACCTGGCAATCACCTATGCCGAATTTGACCTAAGACCCTCTTGATTTGAAAAACATCTAAAATAATCTGTTAAATGTGTCCCTGACTTTGTGCATGAACAGGAAATGTAAAATTATAAGGTTCATGAATGACGTTTGGCGCGCAAGCGGGAAACATTGTTCTTACCATTTAGATTGATGTCCACTCTCTCCCCTTCCACGCGCCACCATCATTGGGTCGGTTTCAGACGCAGACCCTCCAGGAGTTCACTTTTAACGGTCGGAGTTAACGGCCAACAGTCGGAGTTTAAACGTTGTCTTTCCAGCTCAGCTCGTCTCTTTGGCTGTGCTTTGCGGTAGTGACTCCGTATTTGAATAACTGAATAAAAACGAGGAAACGGGTTAGTCAAATCACCTGCTGGCCTCTTTCTTTCCTGGCTGTGTTTGAGGGTGAACACACCTGAAGAAAGTGATGTTGATTAACGGAGAGATGAAGGTGACGTTCTCAATTTCCCCTCAACTACCGACATTGAAGCCCCTCACCCGGTAATTAGCTTGAACACTTTTGTCAACATTTTCTTAATCTCTGTTTGTATTTTATCGTTTTATGTTTGATAAAACACTCTTTTGTTACAACTGTACCTAACGGTCAACAAAACGCCTAAACGTAGGCCAAAGGTTACACCAAAAACGTAAATTTCCACAGTAAGCTAGCTATCGTAGCAGTTAGCTAGTTAGCTAGCAGTTGGTGCTAACTGCTACATACAGTAACCGCGAAAAGAAAAAAAAGTGGCTAATGTATTGGCACTGAATTGACAGTTGGAGACATATTTAAAATGCTCAAAAAGAAAAGGGCTTGAAATTGTGCTACTTTTCTATTTTAATTCTAGTAAAATTCAGGAAATGTTTATAATTTCAACTGTAACCACATTATTGGCAAACTAAGACAGGTTTGTCTGGCTGGTTGATGACCTTTGCAAAATGGAACATAACATACCTATTAATGGAATCCAGATATTAGGTTTATATTAGGGATCATGCACCCTTCATTTTGGCTTTTATTTTAATTGAATGTAACTTCCAGTGAAGCCTGGCTTTGAGGTTATAGTGCTCAGTCTTACTGACTTTACTGTAGTTTTTTGTTTGGTTGTGTACCATACAATATCCATAAATAGAAAAATGGGCACCTAAAGTGTCTATTTTGCTTTTCTATTCATATAATTTCAGTTTATTTCTGGTGAGATTTCACACTGTTGTCACACCATGGTGAGGTTGTCTTGTCTTGGGTTTGTTTTGTCCTGTCATTTCCTGTTTTATTTTGAAAAGTAACTCTCCTCTCGTTTCAGGTCACTTGCCCTTCCTCATGTGTGTCAGTCTGATTGCCCTAAGTGTTTCCACCTGTGCCCTATTTCCCTCCATGTGTTTAAATAGTCTGTGTTCCCCTTGTCTTGTGCCAGAGTGTCTTCGTCTTTGACCTGCACCCGAGCCCTTGTCCATGCCCACAGCCCTTGTGTTATTCCTAGTAAGTTTTTTTGTTTATAACTTCTTGCCTTAGCTAATGTTCATAGTCTTTTGTTTCTCCTCTTTATGAGTGATTTTTTTTTTGTTCGTAACTTTTGGTTAGAGTTTTTTCATTCTTCTGGGGTGATTTTGTCCGGACTAGTATTATCATATCTATTTATTTTTCACTCTGTCTGAGGTCATCGGTGTTTTCAATAAAGCCTATTGTTTTCAAATTCTCTGCATCTGAGTCCTGCCTTGAGTCCCTTCCTGACAACTGTAAATATTACACACAGCTTTCAGCATTAAGTTACTGTATCTTTTAGGTTTGGATACCGAATTTAGTACTTTAAAGGGTAGTGACCGACTTGGTGAGGTGAAGCAGTCACAAGTTTGTTTACAATTTTCAAAAGTCAACGCAGAAGATGCATGCTGTGGTATTTGTGATGCACAGCATAAAGATGGCCAGGGCAACACGTTTAACCCCTGAGGACACGTGGCCAAACACAAAATATATCTAAAAGCTGATGAGTGTACAGTGTTTGATAGCCTGGAAAAAAGGCAAGTTACCCGCAGTAGCTGCAGCTAACGTTCACATTCCTGCAGCAGTTGAAGTTGAACCCGAAACAAAACATTACAACAGCGACATATTCAAGTAATTAAAGTCATTATTTGGGCATTTTTACCGCAACCTTCGTATGAAATCAATAGATTGTATGTATTCTATGTACTGGGAAATATTACAGCTAGCACTATGCAAGCAGTGCAATGAATGTGAATGGTACTTAACCCTAGTATTTTTGCATACCGACAATGGTATTTGATTGTTAAAAATCTGACACATTGGCGAATATGTTTATATTTTTAAATAAACACAATTTAAACAGACACTTTTGATAAAGATTTGTTCTTTCAAAAACCACGGCCAAGATGTGTACTAAAGGAGATATTTCACTTAAATAACTAAGTTATACTTAATTCCCATAGTTCTCTACTGGATAAACAATGTAATGGTGGCACAATTTTTCAATTACTTTAAACATCGTTTGTGTTTCTGTAGTCAGCATATGCCAATCTGTTGTTCCCGGTGTAGGAATAAGGTGAAGAAAAAACATTTGGCTTCAGTTACTACCACAGCTTCATGAATAACATCTAAAGGCCAGTTATGTCCAGACAGGTGAAGTCAAATCAGCATAATTTAAATGATAAACAATTTCAGACGGACAAAAAAAATACATAATTCAATTAACTAAACCAATCAATGTCAAATCATTATGACAAACTCAGTCTTTGTTTCCTTTTATTCAGAGCCTGTGCACCATTCGGTAGTGCTGGTGTGCTGGATTTTCTGTGGGAGAGATGACAGCTGGGAAATCTGCTAGATTGAGTTCAGATGGCACATGCGATGGCAGGTATCATATTGAATCCTTGTCAGCTGATGAAAAACAGCAGCAGGTAGTGTACCAGATTTTGTGTTAAAGCTTATTGTTCAAGGTAAACTTCAGAGAGAGGGCAACATCACAAGGTGGAATCTGATATTTGAGAAAATTTAAGGGGTCACTGACTTTGTCAATTCTCTTACTGTTTTTTAATATTTTCACTGAACTGTACTGTAAATGCACCTTGTCATGTGACATAAAAAAAGAGGAAAAAAAATCTTAAATAATATGAAAATAGCATGAGAGAGGTCTAGAGTTCATTTAATATGAAATTATGAAACTTATCTTATTATCAAACTTTGTTATCATCCTTACAACACTGCTGAAAATTATATCAATTTGAAATCAGATGGTTATATCACCATTAACGCTCAATGCTGAACTGTTAAAGATATTTTGAGATGAATAAGACATTTTCTGCACTAAAGGACAGAAACTGTGGTTATTGCAATAAAGAGAAAGTGTAAGGTATCACATTTAATTACGCCCACTCATTTGTCTCCCTCAATTCCTTGTCTAAAAAAGAGGAAAGTATCACATTTTATACTTGTTTTCATGACACTTTATAACAGTACAGCCTACACAATATTTCAGTTTGTGTAATTATTGCATTAAAAACACTGAAATTGGTCAAAAAAGCAAGAAAGGAGTTAACAGTAAACAAATCTTACTTGTTTCGTGTAAAATGCTTCTTAAAGAGACCCTGTACTCTTGTGTGACATCTTTGTTCTTAGGTGTGACAGTAGCGTCACTCCAACTAAAAGGCAGTGGAGGACATCTCAGATTCTCTGATTGTCAGTGGTTATTTCTTGTTGTGTGGTTGTTTTAAAATGTGACTGACAGGTCCTCTGATGTCTATACAAAATAAAACCTATTAAACAACAGAACATCTCATCAACATGATCACAAAAGTCAAAGGCCTGCTCATGATGTATAAGGCGAGTGATTTTAGCTGTAGCCATACCTGGGAGTCAATGAACATGACTGGCAGAGGACCAGTTTCCCCTGTCAGGAACAAATTTTTTCAATTATTCTCCACTTGAATGCATCAGCTAGACATTTCTCTATTCTTGGCTGAGGTGGACAGCCTAGTGCTGCAACAAATGTTTTCTGGTTTAATTAAATGCATTATTTTTAAGGACTCTGTTATTCTACAGTAGTAGTAAGTGCATGTTATTATAATTTGTAACACTTAAAGAGTGGACAAAGCATCTTCACCACAGTGACTACACAACAGGCATTAGTTTGTTAGCAAGTATGGTGTCAGTTTTTTGCATTGTCAAACAATACCTTAGTACTTGCAGCATTCAGGTATGTTATCATGTTTGTTGTGCCACTGTGGTTGGCCTGTTTCAAATCACACTGCCTTTGTCTTGTCATCGCTCAATTTAAAATGTTCCCACACAGCTGAGGGCTTCGGCATTCTGTCTTCCCTTTAACAGGCGTGATAAACAGAAACGTGACATTCACTGCTGTGAGTAAGATGGATGTCAGGTGTCCGAGCGCAGACTTAAAAAAAAAACTACAAAAAAAAATCTCTCTTGATAACCTCATTAACATTGATCACCACATTATTTATTGCATGTATATATTCATTTTATTTGGTCAGTTGTATATCGATTTAAATTAAGATAAATGTTACAAATGAAATCTACGAGGGTGTTACCTGAAATGACTGATTTGATAGTAACCTAGAAAACTCGCTCTATAATCTTTTATATTAAGTGGGTGTTATTATGGCAGTTGGAGAAAATGTAGTTTATATCAAAGAATACATGGACTTATAGGGTACATGCATTTATTTCTATAGACTCTGCTCCAGGTTGAATGACCAACTCACTCTGCTTTGCTTTCGCATGATAATGTCCCAGAATCTTAACAGGACTGTAGGCTTGTGGAAATAATTTTCGGAAATTGTGTATTCCATTGCAATTTCTGGTGGTCATTTTTCATCTATCAGTCATTGGAAAAAATGACAGATATAGTAAAATATTTAAATCAACTTGAAAGAGCAGTCCCAGTTGGCCCCAGAGAGAGGACATTGTTACAGCAAATGAAGAAAACTTTTTATAAAGCCAAATTGTTTCAAGGCCTACTCATCATCAAGTAAGTGGCATGGCTAGTACTAACAAGCCTTACGAATACAGCTTACTTGCATCAACAACAAATCTTCTACAAATCTAAAAAATGCTTGAATCATTACTAGTACACCATACCTACTGCTTTCATTGCATAGCATTAGTGATTGATAAATGTAGCTATGACATTCACATTAGGTTGTATGCTGCCTAACATTAATCTTGTTAGTTAATACTTCATTTATATCATTTTTACTACTTTTCATTTATATGGCTGACAGTTAGTTTGGTAATATAAAAAGTGAGTTGTCGTGGTTACACAGCAAGCCATAGTGGCAAGTTGGAAAAACTTGAAGCATTGTGAACTCTGACGGCAGCAGGCAGCCATTGTGCATTCATGACGGAAGCATCTGCCCTCCCTCTGCTTGCCACTGCCACCAACCTCATGCTCACACTGAAAGCAATGGAGGTGGTGGAACAGCTGTCTTTCTGAAAATACCTTAAATAAATAATGCATCAATAATGCATCATCATACATTATAGGCGAGCAAGTTGCTGCAGGCCCTATAACTATGTTTTTAATGTGGACAAAAAGATAATAAGAATGTAAAGTTATGAACAGTGCATCTCTCAGGCTGTTAAGTGCTGGTGTATAACTTCAGGGCACGTTAAACATTAACCCAACTGTTTTATGTCATATTTGTGCAGTGTCCTGCCCACTCTGCTGAAAAAGAAGGTTGCCCCAGGTGAGTTGGTCGTCAGTGTGAAGTTGTAATTTCATATTTTGTACTTGGATAAAAAGTGACGCACCAAGAATGTTACCAGGTAAGTAGACTCATCTGAAACATGAATCCAAATGTATAAACAAATTGTTGTTTAAGTAAATACATTCTAAAGTTGAATTTGTATTACCTGTAATCCTCAGGTGTGTTTCAACTGCTCGGGCCAAGAGATCAAATGGACCAGAATAACTGTTCGACGTGACTACACAAATTAAGTTTAAGAGAATATACCTCATAACAACCTTCTACAAAAAAGATGGCAGGCATACCACCCAAGATTTCAACAACAGTCACCAGTCGTAAGTACCAGCATCTTCAGGATAATTTATTAGAAATTCATGAAGAAAGAAATAGCTTTTTATAGAAGAAATTATATGGTGGTGAGATTAAAAAAAACTGTATACAGGCAGAAAGATTGAAAAGGTAACTCTTAAGATGTATAGGAATTTAAATAAGTTGCATGGTGTATGTTTATGGGTAGCTTGTTACAGTTTTATCCATAGTAAAAGGAGGCAGCCTCTTCACCTATTAGTCTTTGCCTTAACCAGCTGTACATTTAATGCTGTCTGATGACCTATGGCAGTGAGTATAGAGTATAGACGGAGAGACAGTTTCATGCTAACAGGATAAGTATGGATGTGCTAAACCTTTTAGAGTCTTATAAACAAGTAAAATCCTAAAGGAGATTGGAAGCCAATATAGATCTAAAGGGGCTTAATGTGGCATTTTTATATTAACTGAAATCTGACCACTTTTTTTTTCTTTTTTGGTAATCCACTTAGACGAGAGAAAGCCAATGCATAAATAGATTTTTGCGTCAGGAAGAGTAAGATATGGTCTGACTATTGCAGTATTTCTCAGGTGGAAAAATACAGTCTTACCAGTGTAGTAATGAGAAAATTACATTTATCTCCTTATTAACGGAAATGGATTTATCAAACCAACCAGACAATATGATGGTGATATTTCTATTTTTTTGTGTTGTGTGCTTTTTGTTGTGTAATCTTTGATGTGGACAACAGTGCTTTATTCAGTTATCAGTCTAGAGATCAGTCCATAAAGATTAATCATTCTAGAGTCTGAAGTACAGACTAAAGGTGAACAAGGAAGAAAATCCCATTATAAGCAACAGTAATAACAAGACTACAAGCAGTATCAATTCTTTGCACTGCTGCAGGGAGACTTTTTGAAAACTCATTCACTTTCCAGCAAACTCTGCTTCATTCACATTAGTGGTTATGCACACGTGTTCTGTAGGTACTGTACACCGATCAGCCACAGCATTAAAGTCACTCACCTGTTTTTTTGTTGTGGCTTATTGGTGTACATTAAGCAATGAACATTTCATTGCCAAGTAGCATCTAACATCAGATTGTGAATAAAAAAAAAAAGAAAGAAAGAAAAATCTTAATGACAAAACAATTATGCAATCACTGAGAATGATTCTCATGAGTAGGAATGGGCACTGAAACTCATTATTAAACAAATTTTTAAAGACCCGAGTATTGATAAGCTCCGACACTATCAGTTCTGCTCGGTACTTGAGAAATTAAGAAAATTGATTTACAATTTGTTATTGCACAAGTTTTCCCCCACATTTTATCTCATCAACTCCTTTTCTGATCAGCACTGATGTATTTTCACTGATCACAACACAGCAGATCTCTCTCTCTCTCTCTCTCTCTCTGACCCTGTGTGTGTGTGTGTGTGTGTGTGTGTGTGTATGACTCACTGAATATGTATGTAAATTAACAATAAATATACTAACATCTATATACATTCAGTTTTATTCCCTGTTTCATTTATGCATGTGGTCGTGGTTACAGGTTGATACAGGTTTGCATGTTGATGTCTACAAATGTATTCAGTGCTTGTAGATTGGTGCAGAACATACGCTCTGCATATAATCCTCAAATTCTAACCACTATTTACACGTACTTTTCTGCTATGATAAATAAAAGATTTTTCTGTTGCTGATGTAGACACACCCAAAACATTGATCAAAATGTGCTTTGTGTGAGGGAGAGAGACAGGAGTAATATAAAAAGTTACGTTTTTGTTTGATTAATTTTTCCTTTTCTTTCTTCAAGAACATCCAGAGGGACTCGTCCAGGTGAATGTCTCTGTCACAGGTTTCCAGCAGGTTTCCAGTGACACCATGGCAGAGTCATCTGGTGAGTCCATTCACAGATTGTATCATAACATTACATGCAGATGTGTTTGGGTGTTTAATTTCATCAAACTCTCTATTGATATTCCTGTTATCTCTCTTACTGAGGTAGGCTAATTAAAATATATTCATTTCTGAATTTATATTTAGTCTGTGGCAAAGGGTAGCTGTTAAAAACAACTTAAACTGGGTGCCCTGATAGCCAAATTGTTGGGGTTTGTACCAGATGGGCTCAAATGCCCTGGTTCGACTCCTTGCTGGCCGGACCATTTGTTGCATGTCATTCACCTTTTCCCTACTTTCTCTCACTGCATTTCCTGTCTGTTTCTGTTACGTTATCCAGTAAAGGCCTAAGATGGCCAAAAAAACTAAAAAAAGAAAAAAGAAAACTGACTTAAATTTGATGTGTTTGATGTGTTGATGATTAAATGATCATAAACATATGAAACCAGGACTTGTATATGAATATTATTATGAGCAAAATATTTTTTAACAAATATATACAATGTATGATTCCTACATTACATTTGTGAGGGGCCCCTTGCCTTACGTGGACAGGACACATTTCAGTTTTCCATTTTCCTTAGCAAGTTAAAGGGGTTGGTGTTTTACTGGTGTGCTACTAAGAAACAGAGGGCTCTATTTCTATTCCTTTAGAAGACAGATGGAAACTCAATTGTGGATTACATTAGGTGCAAAGGCAGTTTAGTTGATTCACAGTTTGGAGAGAAGACTGGAGTAGGAATAGATAGAGGCACAGGTATAGGTGGCCATACCTCGCAGTACCAGCGAGGGGAGTAGAAGAAGAGGAGGGAGATAAGGTGAAGGAAGAGTACAAGGAGAAGCTAGTTGAGTTGAAGGAGACAGAAACAGTGGAAAGTCAAGTTTTTTATTTCATTGATGGTATTTGTGGTGCATAAAATCAGTAAAAGAAAGAATTAAGTTCCACATTTCTACATTCTTACAGAGAAGTCTGATCAGGAACCCCTGAAGCGTAACAACAGCCTGCTGTATCTGCCACCTCACAGTGAGTTAAAACAAACTGAACACTAACTGATTTGGTATTTCAGGAAATATTTCAGAATAAATAATTTCATAATAATGTAAGTTTAAAAAAAAAAACTCATTTATTCAGCTCAAGTGTTTGAAAGTAGTGATTGCTCAATGAACATTATTTAGCCACATTATTTATTACTGACATTAATTAGCCATTACTGTCACAAATTTGAATAGATTCAAGGTCATTAAGTTTTCTGTACAGTGTGGTTGTTTTCCAATAGGTTTACTGTAAGAAGTTGCCATGTTTAATCTGCGCTGGTCCTAAATACAGTGTTACTAAAACTAAGTAAAAGCCTTGTATATTTATTTCTCTTTGGATTAGAGATTATCATTGTTGACATATTAATTCACATTTGCCCTTCATTTCAGTGTCTGAGCTGAAGGTTGTTCTGCTGGGGAACAACTGGTCTTTCAGGAGAGAAGTGGGGAACTTCATACTGGGAGAGAATTCATTCAACAGTCACAAAGCACCTGATGGCTGTGTGATGGGAAGGAGACGGATGGCTGACAAAAAAATAGTTGTCATCAACACCCCAGATCTGCTGTCTCCCAATATCCCTGAAGACAAAGTAAGAAAATCTGTTGAGAACAGTGCGAGTCTCTCGGCTCCTGGACCTCATGTGTTCCTGCTGGTTCTACAGCCTGAAGACTTCTCTGAGGATCAAAAACTGAGGCTCTGCAGAGTCCTGAAACTCTACAGTGATCAATCATTTGATCATTCACTGGTTCTGACATCAACACCCAGAGAGGAGAGTTCAGGTTTCAGGGAAAGTGACATGAACCATTTACAAGATATGATCAGAAAATGCAGAGGCAGATCACTGAAAGACACTGAGCGTCCAGAACTTATGAAACACCTGATACAAATTACAGAGGAGAACAAAAGACAGTGTGTGAGCTGTGCTCTATTGAACACATTAAGTCCTGGTTCTACTAGAGATCACCACCTGATAGGAAGGAGAGCACATTCACCAACAGCAACATGTGGAGCGTCTGGTAAGTGCAGGAAAATAATTATTGATGATGATGTGGCTTATTAATTAACCCAAATGACTGTATAGCAATATACCATCTTTTATTGGTGATATTATCTTTTGACAGGACTGAAACCAACTTTTGAAAATACCCTGTCCAACCAAAGTAAGTAAATAAAATTATCAAATTACTATCCAAATAACTGTTTTCCAATTACACTGAGATACTCTAAGTTACTTGTACTATTCACACAGACAATGACTATGAGGTTAAAGTACTGACTCCCAGTTGGAATTTGAAGGTGTTGATGTACATTTCAGATGGACAGTGTATAAACTGTGAATCATTTGACAGATACATGTTCAATGAAGGCATAAAAATGTCTTTACAATCTTCATTGTTCCCCCAGTATAGATATGAACACCCTCAAAGCTGAGAAACAGTTTAACCTCATACTCACTTTTTCATTTCAACACAAATGTAAATAACCAGAATAATGAGAGAAAATTACTGTCTTGATACATTAATATCTGACAGCACTGTTTGTGGGTAAATGTAAAATTATTAAGAATGTTCTCATTGGAATCAAAAACTTCTTTTTACAGCAGATAAACTCAGAATCGTGCTGTTTGGAGACCGTGAACAGGACAAGATAACTCTATGTAACTTCATCACCAGAGAAGAAGCTTCTATATCTCAGAGAGACTCAGAGAGGATGAACTGTGAGACCACTGAAGGAGAGTGGAGAGGAAAACCATTAACAGTGGTGAAAGCTCCAGACATGTTCAGTCTGTCTGTGGAGACACTGAGAGAAGAGGTGAAGAAGTGTGAGACTCTTTGTTCTCCTGGACCAAATGTTCTGCTGCTGTTAGTGAAACCTTCTGATTTCACTGAGGAGAACAGACGAACCCTGAAGTTCATCCTGAGTCTGTTTGGTCCAGATGCTTTTAAACACTCGATGGTCGTCATGACAGAGAAGAAGAGAGGAACACCATCCACTGTCGACCAGCTGCTTCGAGACTGTGGAGGAAGACTCTACAACATGTTTGAAGATAAACACCAACTGTTGATGGAGAAGATTGAGAACATTGTGCGTGAAAACAAAGAAACCTTCCTCACCTTCTCTGAAGAGCCTGAACACATGAAACCAGCTTTAAACCTGGTTCTGTGTGGGAGGAGAGGAGCAGGGAAGACTTCAGCAGCCGAGGCCATTTTAGGTCAGACAGAGCTTCATTCAGTCTCCAGCTCATCAGAGTGTGTTAAACATCAGGGAGAGGTGAGAGGACGTCAGGTTTCCCTGGTGGAGCTTCCTGCCTTGTATGGAAAACCTCAGGAGGAAGTGATGAAGGAATCGTTCAGGTGTATCTCCCTCTGTGATCCTGAGGGCGTCCATGCCTTCATCCTGGTCCTACCTGTGGGTCCCCTCACTGATGAAGACAAGAAAGAGTTAGAGACCATCCAGAACTCATTCAGCTCTCCAGTCAATGACTTCACCATGATTCTGTTCACTGTGGAGTCAGATCCTGCAGCTCCAGATGTTGTTGACTTTATAAGAAAGAACAGAGACATCCAGGAGCTGCTTCAGAGCTGTGGAGGAAGATCTGTTGTTCTCAACATCAAGGACAAACATCAGACCTCTGAGCTGTTGGAGGCTGTGGACAAGATGAGAGTTGAAGGATCTGAAAGCTTTAGAAAGGAAATCTTCACCAGGGCTCTGAGTGATAAAGGTACAAGGCCAGACATTGAAGACAGAAGATTTCAAGCTGAAAGTAAAGATGTAAAAGTGCAGAATATAAAGACAGAGCCTCTGAGGATGGTGCTGATCGGGAAGACTGGCAGTGGGAAGAGTGCTGCTGGAAACACCATTTTAGGAAAGCACTTTGAATCCAGAGCCAGTCAGAGATCAGTGACCAAGTCTTGCCAGAAAGCATCAGGAAAGATTGATGGACGACCTGTTGTTGTGGTCGACACCCCCGTGCGTTGTTCGACACAGCTCTGTCCACTGATGAAGTTAAAGAGGAGCTTGTGAAATGTGTCAAGATGTTGTCTCCTGGACCTCATGTGTTCTTACTGGTGTTACAGATCGGCCGGTTTACACAAGAGGAACAAGACTCTGTGGAACTGATCAAGAAAATATTTGGTGAAAATTCAGGACATTTCATCATCGTTCTGTTCACCAGAGGAGATGATCTGAACAATCAGGCAGTTGAAAGCTACATAGAAGAAGAGTGTGAGGACTTTGTTAAAAATCTAATTGAAGAGTGTGGAGGGAGATACCACGTCTTCAATAACAACGATAAGACAAATCACACACAAGTCGGTCAGCTGCTGGACAAGGTTGAGACATTGGTGAGAAAAAATGGTGGTGGATGCTACAGCATAGAGCTGCTAAATATTGAAAACAATTATCAGAAGGTGTTGAAAAGGATGGAAGAGATGCAGGAAAAAATGCAGAGAGAGAAGGAGGACCTTGAAAGAAAACATGAGAATGAAATGGAGGTGCTGAAAAGAAAATTAGAAACACAGGCTTCTGAAATGGAAAAGCAACAGAACTGCAGTGAAGAAATGAAGAAAGAAATGAGGGACCTTATACAGACCATGGAGGCCCTGAAGAAGAAACAAGAAAAGGAAAGAAATGGTTTAAAAAAGAGACATAAAAAAACATGTATAATCTTGTGATGAAAACAGTGGTCAGATATGTGAAAGGAGTCTCATCTATTTACCACCAAGCTGAATAAGGATTGATTACTGTATGTAGCAAGGCTGTACTGCGCTGACTTTAACCTGCCCAGTTACCACTCACCACTAGCTGGTCACTCCACCTCTCTCTCTATCTCTCTCTCTCTCTCTCTCTCTC